ATTTCATTCTTAGGCATCTTCAATTTAGGCAAACCTCGAACAAGATCATTGTTAGACAAATTCACTAAATCATTATAATTCACATGTCCAAGTCTTTTATGCTATAAAACAGCCTCATCAGTAACTGTAGAAAAACACATAAGTGAAGGATCTGAAAACATAACATAACAATTATCAGAAGTTCTAGTTCCTTTCAAGATGCATTCACTTTTTTCATTAGTTACAAAACACCCTTGTTGAGTAAAATTGACTTGAAACTCCTCATCACATATTTGACTAATACTCAACAGATTAGCAGCTAAACCTTTAACATATAGAACATTTTTTAACTCCCCAATTCCTGGAAATTTGATCTTACCTTTACCACTTATAGTAGAAGCCTTACCATCACCAAAAGTAACAGTACCAACTGAGCATTCCTTAAACGTGGTAAATAATGTTCTATCCCCTGTCATATGCCTAGAGCAACCACTATCAAAGTACCAACCACATGGACCAAGTGCTCTAAGTGCTGTGTGCATGGCAAGACATTTAAAATTCTCTTTCTTTACCCAAACAATTTTAGATAAATTATGCAATGATATCCCTATTGTTCTAGGCAAAGTGTCACAAGGCTCAACAGTCCTAATCCTCTTCTCTCTCAAATTTGAACTCTCAAAATTTTTCAATTTTTTTCCTAGTTCCATTTTCCTTTTCTGACACTTATACTTGATATGCCCTTTTTCACCACAAAAATGACATGTTGAAATAAGTTTCGGAGAATTAGAAATAACACAAGGCTGGGTTTCAACTTTCACAAAAACATCTTTAGATTTCTGAAAATACAAATCCTTTGAAGTTAAAGCAAATTCTTTGTTATGACTAATATTCTCAACCACTCCTTTCAACTTATCAATTTTGCAAGTGTTAACATTAATTTTCTGAACAGACTGTATTGATTTAACAAATTCACTACTCAAATTATCAATTTTAAGTTCCAGTGATTTATTAAACCCATTTACTTTCTTAAGCTCATTTTCTAGAAAATCAATTTTATGAAGAAGATTTAAATTCTTATGGCCAATTTCTTCCAAATTCTTATTAGAGACAGAAACTTCTAACTTATAAATATCTCTATCAAGTTCCGCAAGTTCTAATTTCTCTAACAATTTTTCAAAATCCTTTTTATACTTTGACCACTCAATTTGCATGCTTGTGACAGAATAAAAAACAGAAGGTAAAGGTAACACATCAACAGATGAATATTCAGACATGATGCAAAAATCAATAATTAATCAACAAATATGATCAACTCAGTATATCGAGTTACCCGCTCTGATACCAAATTGTAAAACAAGAGTTACGCGGGGTGCGGAAATAGTTGATTTAATTGTGATTAACTCCTTTAATGACCTAGATCTAATTATTAGGTTAACTTGCTTAATTTATGAATGATTAAATTGCATGATCAATTAAACATCCACAATCATAAATATAAATACCGAAAAGTAAAGCAAGTTAAGTTTAGAGAGATTGCACCAGAATTTTTAGCGAGGAAACCCCAGTTGATAAAATACGTCAATTGTTATGAGAAAAACCTCGTGGACTATGTAGTCCAAAGTAAACCAATCCACTATGTTTGAAACAAAGTATACCGAACTTTGACTCTGGCTCACACCCTATCGTTTTACACCACACCAACCGCTGACGATCCTTTGGCTTTGCGACTCCCCGTCCAACAGCAACTTGATCTCAGGCGTACACTTATATTTGTAGAAGAGTAGCAGGTAGATCAAACAGCACTTCACGAATGCTCCAACCCTTTCAAAGTGTGATAGCGCTTACTTATGTTCTTCAAGATCTGAACTCGATTGTAGAAGAATTAAGTCTTGTTTCTCATCTGGAATATCTGAATCTTCAGTATAGCTCCGATTTTGGTGAGATAGAGAACATCACCACTAAATCACTCATGAATATATGTGTATGCTCTCACAAATAAATTCAGAATAATCAGATTTGATTTTCTGAATTTTCTCTCTCTAGAAGGCTTTATCAAAATATAGAATTGATTTAGCCCCCCTAAGCTAATGTATATGACAAGGTTTATATAGAGTTTTGAAAGTCCTAATCCCTAAAAAAATATGATAAATTTTGTGCATAGGACTTAGAAGGAAGTTGGGATCAAAAAGGAAACATCAGAAGAAGGAAACTGGAAACCTGTTGCATCTAGGACTTCTTGAACTGGTTCAGCCATCTTGAACCGGTTTAAGAAGGATAGTAAGGAATCCCATAGATTCTTGAACCGGTTCAGCCCTCTTGAACCGGTTTAAGATGGTCAGTCTTGAAATTTTAGCATTCTGATGTAGTTGAACCTGTTCGATAAATCTTGAACTAGTTCAAGATGGACAGAATGTAAAACCTTGTTCCGAACCTTTCAAAACCCTTCCTAAATTTTATCACTACCTCTCAAAACTTCTTATAGCGTTGTTATCATGAACAAAATATACCATGAACACTTGACCTTCTTCAAATCCGCATCCGTTCTTTAATCTTTGAAATTTCGTACTGAAAAATTACAACTCGATCGGACTTGTTTTAACATCAAAATTAGCCAATTACAAAATATATCTCACACTCAGTGTAGTACTCTCTCTCTAAATAAGACTCAAACTGACATACTAACACTATGTGTATGCAAAGAAGGAGGAAAACTCAGAACTAGAGAGAAAATTTCTGAGTTTTGATGTGACTTGCAAATGTCCAAGGGGGTATTTATAGGCATGCATGTGCGTTTTTGGTTGACCCGAACCACCACTGGACGCAATAGTTCAGCCCGAACCATCACCAAAACACTTATTCATGTTGGGATGCACTGGTTCACACCAGGTGCAACCTTAGATGCACTTCGGATCAAACACAACCATTCGCTAAACCCACCAGAGTAAGCCCAACTCAATAAAATTAAATTAAGCCCAAAAGCCAAGGTCTAGTTCAAAAATTATGTTTAATAAAAAAAGTTAACCAGATTTTACAATTAAGCCTATGGCTGAACCATCTCGGGCGAGGCGCGCGTTTGTGTGATAAATGGTTTAGACCCAAACTTGCCTAGGTCCTCTTATCTTAAAAACTTGGGTGCCCGTGGGTTCAAACCCAACTTCCAAACTTGGGCTATATATACTCTTATTAGTTTCACTTTTTATTCAATGAGGGACAACCACTTCTCACATTTTGCATACCCGTTTAAGCTTATCAAAATACTTTACTTTTGAGCTAATTTCTTATTCACCAGGAAACAAATTTGAGAAAGTAAATATACCACATTTATTTCCTTGCAAAGAGGAAAGTATTCGTTTATAGATTCGCAAAAAAAATTTAGCGGGACCTATTCAAAATTGCGCGCAAAGTTTCTGTTTTGTTTACTCCTTTTCCAACAAAATTCCTTAACCTTAATTTGACATGATTAATTAATTGGGTGAATCATGTTAATCTGTTTACGACCTGATTAAAATTTACCTAAACCTACTTATCTCGTGTTGTATTCAAATTATATTAGCTGGTATTGTCAAATCTTGTCACCGAAATAGGGTTGCTCAAGTCTCCAACCGGAGAGAGAGAGAGATGTGAGGGACCGGTGGCTGAGGAGAAGTGAGAGAGTGAGGGGATAAGAATCAATCTTATATCACTTTTAAAGTGTGTTTAGTTATTAAGAAAATCATTCTCCTATTGGATATAAATATGCATGTGGATATATGGACTTTTATATTTCTGAGGTGGATTATTGAGTTATTGACTACTTAATGAGTCTTATCTATTTTTTAAAAATTGGACGTACACGTATCCGTCCAATTCTGATCTATTTACGTGGCGTTGTACAAGTAAATAGATCTTGGTCATGTATTCGTCATAGGTAAAACGTAAGATGGTTGTCCTCAGTATATATAAATCTTGGTCACTGAAAAGCAAAACACATATTTTTAGTGAGACAATGCATTCAATTCCGATCTTCGTCTTACTATTCGCAGTATTCTTGCTCAACCCAACATGTATATTAGAGTGCGGTGCAGAGGCGAGAGGAGCCGAATGACCAATAGAACGAGAATTGGAGAGTACTAGGAAGCACTTCATTCTAGTTCATGGGTCTAACCAGGGCGAAGCCAGGATTGCAAAGTAGGGAGGCTAAAAATAATAAAACCTATGATTGCTTAGTGTGTCATCCATGCTCTAAATACATGATTATCATGCATCAGTTATTCAATTAAACCCAATAATCATCAACTTTCTAACACATTTACACTTCCAAACTCTAACGTATTTTTACAGTCAAGAATCTATTGAAATTTGCTTCATACAAGTATTAAAACAAACAACTATAAGAATGAAAGATATATATGTTTCTTATCAATAAATTCACATTAGAAAGTAAGACCTATGTGCTCCGTTCTTGACTAGTTATTAATCCATTATATAGTAAATTACCCAATTTAACAAGAAATTATCAAGTCATCGACAAAGCCCTTTATATATATACAAAAATAAAATTCAATATTTCACTGGATTAACAATAATAATCCACGATATCCATCTACTTATGCCTTAGTGCTTTATACACGAAGATTTTAGGTCATCTTCGATAAACTAACAATGTGTTTTGATTTACTGGGTTAGACCCTAGTATATTTTATTATGGTTTATTTTGTGATTGGGCATGTCTATGGTTCGTGGGCTTGCTCATATTTAAGATTTGACCTTTATAAATTTTATAACTCTTTTTATTTATAGAAATACTATGGATTGGGCTGGGCTGATAGGAAGAGGAAGAGTAGTACACGGGCTTATATGAACAATAGTACTAAATTTTTTTTTTCAATTGGACCTGGGCTATAGCCCAGGTTAGCCCATTACTAGTTCCTCCCTTGGGTCTAACCTTGGAGCATGGTCCTGGTACAAGCTTATCACCCTACTTAAGTCCGCGGGTCACAACGTTATAGCCTTGGATCTAGCCGCAAGTGGGAGGGACCCGAGGCGATTCGAGGAGGTCACCTCCTTTTTTGAGTATGTGCAACCAATGATGGACTTCATGGTCTCCCTGCCTAATGGGGAGAATGTGGTCCTAGTTGGTCACAGTTATGGCGGCTTTTCCATTTCTCTAGCCATGGAGTGCTTCCTGGAGAAAATCTCCGTTGCAGTTTACCTCACTGCCTTCATGCCCAATTGCAGTGCTCCACCAGCTACCCTTTTACAACAAGTAAGAAAATCTCTATTAGCTTAAAATTTCTGAACATAATTGTATCATGAAAATGTATGCAATTTATTGAGAATTGTATCTCAAAATTTAGATTTTGTTGGTTTTTCATTTTAAAGTCAGTATTTTGTTTAGGAAATTGTACCCTATAGCATATAAATTAGTTTGATTCATAAGAGTTCGTCTATATATAAGTTTATTGTTAATGACTTTGAGATTTACGAAAGGAATATATATATGTATATATATACTTTTTGATACTTATTCTATTCATATAAAATTATATGAATAATTCTTGTTTAAAAATTATTCCTTTTATCTTTAGAGATGTAAACTATCTAATAAAAATTGAAAATTTGAATGAATGATTTTCTAATTGTATCTAATAAGTTTAATTTTCATTTTTATTTATTTTTATCCAATATTAAACATATTAATAAGAAAAATCTTAACAAAAGAAAATAATTACATTGAAATTCATACCAGATTTGTTAAAGGTAAATTGTGAAGTTTAAAGAATTGTCTTGTCATTTTTTATGTCTTCCAATACTTGGCCCATGGGGATGGTGTGATTGAATAAAATAAATAAATAAGCTAGAGAAAAAGGTCGTAGAGAAGAAGAGTGTGAGAGAGTTAGAAAAGGGGAGACATTAAATAAATAAATAAAAAAGATAGGAAGGGAGAAAAATATAGGTTTGCAAAAAAAAAAAAAAAAAAAAAAACAAAACGGACAATACTTACCTATTCACCGGTAAGTAGAAAGTACATACTTACTCCTGATGTGACGTAAAAGTAATATGACAAGTGTCCCTAAATAGAAAATAATAAAAATTAAAAAATTTAAATGCTTACCGGGTCAATCCAAATGGATGCAAATCAAATCCTTAATTAACTCTCCCTCTCTTTCTCTCTCTCAAACTATTCCGCTTAAACTCTAATCTGCTAATAATGGAAGTTTTGACTTTTATCTTTTATGATTTAATGTGTAATCCTTATATATATTTATCAATTATTTTGATCTAAAGTACACCAAATTACAAAAAATCTGGTTCTCCACCGTAAGCCTTTCCTCGTTTGAACCTCGCCCTTAACTTACTTTAAGGCTATGCCATCCTAAGGTGCTGCTAAATGGAAGGATCTTATCAACGTCCATGAATGATAAATCATAGATCGAACCGCCGAATCGGAAAAATTGGGTGCTATCATATAGCTTTGTATCGGCTAAGTTCACGAGTTGGAGATAAGCGGACTCGAACTTTGATAAATAATTTATTGATTGCATAATAGATTGCTATTACTTATTTAAGATCTTTATTATTATTATTATTATTATTATTATTTTTAGCAAAAAACAAATATCTAGGTATCATTATATTTATAGTTATTCTTTCTATTCATCATCCAAAACTTTGTTTGTATCTTGTAATATTATTTTATTTAAAAATTTTAGCTTAAAATATATATATTTTTTTCCGACAATCCCCTTTTCATACACTCACTGGACAAAAAGAGTAATGTGAGAGTGGGAAAGAGAGTTAGATTTGGATCATATTGGGTTTGATCCAGATAACCTCTCAAATCTTTTAATTTTTATTATTTTATATTGTAGGGACACGTGTTTTACTAATTTTGCACCACATCAAGGTAAGTTATATACTTCATACTTATCAGTGAGTAGGCAAGTATTGTCCATAACACAATACACTGGTGGAAAAGATTAAGGGATTGAAAAAAAAAAAAAAAAAAAAAAAAAAAAAAGAATTAATAATCATGTTTCATGTTATTAAAATTAATTAATGTTAAATCTTATTAAAAAAAGAGAGCATATTTTTCGAAATTTATAGCGGATTAATTGTTAAAACATGTCAAATCTTATTATATCTATTTTGTTTATTATTGAATCTCTATGCATATGTTAACGCATTTCTTTCCTTTTTTATTTTTATTTTTAAATTTTTTCCATGGCTTTTGTTTTGGAGAACAGTCTCTCAGCGCGATCTCGTCTTTCTTGGATTCCGAAATTGTATATGATTCGAGTAATCTGCCTGTTTCCCTACTCTTTGGTCCAAAATTTCTTGTAGCTAATGTTTACAATGACTCCCCAAGAAAGGTGAGGTTTGAACTCGAGCAATTTCATGCGAATAAATCCCTAAAAGTAGCTATCTCTTGTTTTTCTTGATACCTATTCATGTATCTTTGCATGCAGGACCAGGAATTAGCTAAAACTTTGGTGAGGCGAGCTGGGATTTACTTGAATGACTTGAGCAAGCCTCTGCTGACAAAGAATAAATACGGGTCGGTCACTCGGGTTTTTATAATAAGTGGAGATGATCTAACTCTTACAGTGGATTTCCAGAAATATATGATTGAGAATAGCCCTCCCAAAGAAGTGAAGTTCATAGCTGGATCTGATCATATGGTCATGACTTCGAAACCCATACAGCTTTACCTCACTTTGCAGCAGATTGCTTATAAATATGGCTGAATGGGTTGTGCATCATTAAGTCGCATGCACAGATAGCCTAAATAAAAGGTCATGCAAGAAAGTTATGAAATAAGTCGAAAAGGTCAGAATGAGTAGTTCTCTCTTCCATCATGTATTCTCTTTGATTTTCACGAAATAAATGATATTTAAATGTAATGTAACTGAATTGCAGAAATATATATAATGTGGAATATTTTAATGTTACGTGAGAATGAGCATGTGAGTGTGTTTCTTGATTTTAAATTTATAAATTTTATTTAGATAAGAACAGCACAAAGGTCCTTACTTGCCATCTTTGCATTTTACAATGCAACGGAATGTATATGCCCTATGCCTAAACTCAGCTGACGACCTTGAACACCTCTTTCACCGGTGTGCCTATACAAGGGTGATATGGAATATGGAATACAACAAAAATATGGCTTCTCATGGAAGGATTTCCTGGTATGGGCGTCCTCAAATTGGAAGCAGAAGCTGATAAGGAGTAGGGTAATGACATGGAAACTTGCCTTGGCAGGTTATGAGTATCATGTGTGGAGAGAGACGAACAAACAAATTTTCAGAAACACATCCTTACCTCGTGTGCAAATTTAAACCCTTAATTTGGGATGGTAATTTCGGAATTATAAAATACTATCTAACCTACCATCGTTTCTCTCCCAATTTTCTCATTTTTATGATAGAATATAAGAAATAAGAAGGAATAGCTATATCTTCTAATTCTTTCATTTCTCTCATTTTAAACAACTGAAACACAATCTATACTATCATTTTCTTTGTTTTCCCTTACTATCCCTCTAAATTCCTCATTCCAAACGGAGCCTGATGGTATGAATGGCATTTTGTTCCAACTTGAAATACTGCGTGGGCTTTTCATTTTAGGTTTGGACTTTGGACTTTGGACTTTGTTTGAGCTATATGCCTTTTGTCCCTATTTTTGTTTGGGCTATAAGCCTTTGTTTTTTGGGGTTCTCTTTTGTCCATTGCCAGTAGGCCTCTCTTTGTTGGGCCTTGGGGTTCGTCCCAAGTATATATTTGTATAGTGTTTTTTGTTTTTTTGGGCTTTTATACATTTTTCTTACTTACCAAAAAAAAAAAAAAATGTTTCTTACTTGCTATGATTGTTCGTTGAATACTAATTTAGTGTCAAGACGAAGCTCATTCTCTTTGAATTTAAAAGGAGAAAATTATTGGTCTATGCATCTGAAAATCTTTCTTTAAATTGTTATTAAGTTAGTAAAAGGTGAATTATTAAATCAAAATTTCCGTTATTATCTAAGTGCTTAAAAATATAAAGATATAACTTAAGGCCCCGTTTGGAAAGTATTGTGTTTTGTAGTGTTTTGTTTTAGCCTAGAACAGAACAAGTGTTTTGTAATGTAATGTTTTGAAATGAGAATAAAGCATATTTCAGACGAAATTTTGGAGTGAGAATTTTGGAATAGAAATTAAATTTTTTTTTTTGGATGATTAAAATAAATTAATTACAGAGCTTGATTAGTTTGCAAAACAAGAATTACAGAGCTTGATTAGTTGATTTAGAAAAAAAAAATTAAAACAAAACCCATACACACAGGTTAGCAGTTGCAGAGAGAGAGAGGGGGGGCAAGCTTGAGAGTTGAGAGAGCGGCTGAAGCTTGCGAACGGCGAACCAGAACTGGAACAGCGGCCAATGGAAACTGAAAGATATGGGTTTTGATTTTTTGAACAATCTGAAATGATATGCCGATATGGGGGTTTTGATATAGGTAATAGGTTTTGAACTTTTGATTCTTGCAGAAAGATACATAAACTAATTTTAAGGGAAAATATTACCTAAATTATAGAGAAGCTACTGCTATAATACAGAACTGGACTATTCTGCAAATCAACAGAAAATTAAGTTGAGTTCAAGCTTAAAATCCACAAATCAACAAGAAAACAACACAAAAAAGCAGAAATAAAACAGCATTTCGAAGATTGGTAGAGAAATTAAGTTAAAAACGTTTACTTTCACTTGAAATTTTTCAAAATCAGCTCAGAAAGTGTAGAAATCAGAGGTAAAAAAAAAGTAGACTCTGTCAACGGCATAAATTAGAGAGAGAAGGTGAAGAGATTCTAGAGAGAAATTGAGATTTAGAGAGAGAGAGAGAGAGAGAGAGGGAGAGAGGTTTTAAGTTGAGAGATACATAAACTGAAATATATGGGTTTTGAACTTCTGATTCTTGTATATTTTGTAGTTTGTAGTTGCAGAGAGAGAGAGAGAGAGAGAGAGAGAGAGAGGGCAAGTTCAGAGTTGAGAATGAGAATAGAGATAGAGACGGGTTTTGAACTTCTGATCCTTGTAGATTTTGTAGTTTGCAGTTGGAGTGAGAGAGAGAGATTAGGGCAATTGGGAGGCTGAAATGATTTGCCCTAAAAATGGATTGGCAGAGTTGAGAAAGAGAATAGAGATGGAGGCGTTTGGGAGGCGTTTGGGAGGCTGAAATGATTTGCCCTAAAAAAAATTTATTATTACCCCAGCTACAGTAACAAATGGGCCTAGAACAATAGAACACCAAATTTTTGTTCCAGCTTTTGGGCCAAATAATGGATTTGTTTTGAAAGTGTTCTGGTATTGTTGAAAATAAAACATGCCGATCCAAACATATTTTGTTCTCAAAATAGGCTACTGTAACCGGCCTGGAGTATTACAAAACACATGGGAACACATATTTCCCAGGCTTAAGAGTTTGACTCAGGTGAGTAAGTTCCTTAATCTTGGTGGCTCGGAAAAATTTAAAGCATTAAGTTTCGTATTTTATTTTTTAGAATAATTAAAATTTAGACTTATATATCTTTAGCGCTTCCGAGTCTTGTATCATTTCCAACTTCTCTAAGTCAGCTTGTCTCGAAAAGTTGCTAAGCTTCTCTATACCACAATTTTGGACAACCACAACAAATTTATAGTTGACCTTTCCTCATCCTTCCAATCTATAAGACCAATTGGTTGTTTGATTACATCTTTGAAGGTCCCCAGAACATGGCTGTGTCGGTGAGCATCATTAGTCTCCACACTCCACCACAATTTTTTATTTATTAGAAAGATAAATACCTATAATTCCCTTATGGTATTATGGGATTTGAAAAAAAAAAAAGTCAAAATTATTGACGATGGAGCAATTTGTACAACTTTTCAAAATACATGAATTTATACACACTTTTTTAATGCCCAATTCATTTAAATTCCTTTGGTCCACAAATATATATATATATATATATAGTCCAGAGAATGTGAGTCCTCTGAGTAGTAGGAGAGGAGAGAGAGTTCTTCACCATTAAGGAAGGAGGGAGGTTCCACTACTGCATCACTCTCATAGCCGTCTCCGAATGCTTGCAGGCAATTTGCAACTAAGCTTTTAACGCAGGACTCTTCAATGAAGGTTAGGTTCGATGTCAGATTTTCAGGCAATTTCATACGAATACATCCATAACAACAGCTAGCTTTTTGTTTTTCTTGATGTCGCTATTCATGTATCTTTGCATGGTGGACGCTGAATTAGGTAAAACGTTGGTGAGACCAACTGGATTTTACTTGAATGACTTGAGCATGCCTCTGCTCACAGAAAATAAATACGAGGTCACTCAGTTTTTATAACTAATTACTCTTGTTAATACTTTTATTCCTATTTTTTTTTTAAATATTGTTACCTTTTAAAATCTTTGGAAATTACCAAAATTACTGTAATATGTGAGAGAATAAAAGTGAGTTGAGAACGAAGGGTGAGACGGTGAGATTGTAATGAGGGGTGAGGAGAAAAAACTTTATACACGCTGGTGTAATGATAGAGGAAATAAAAAAGGGTGGAATGAGGATAGAAGTGGTAATTTGTGTTTGCATCATAATCGTGTCGTGTCCATTTAAGAGTATTATATTAAATAGGTCAATCGAATACGACCCGTTTAATAATCATGTCATGGACCTTCAATAGTAACATAACATGTTGATTAAATAAGTTACACGTGTCAACTTATTCACTAATACAACCAAATTACTAGTCACTAGTCAATAGAATAGTAAATTAAAAGACATAAATTTATATAGTTATGATTGAATCCGAATATTCAAAGCAAGATGAAAAACATCAAACACCCCCTTAGTTAAGTTCCCCGACTATAAATGTTTAAGCAAGTCTGATCACTTGAAAATCATACTAAAAGAAATGACATTTAAGAAGGTAATGCAGTTGTTTGGATTTGTATGGAAATGACCTAATTGTCCATAGTTAAACGACATTAAATGGATTAAACCTGTTGTTTAAGGTGTAGGTGTATGATATACTATAGTATCACTATTTAAATATTATGATAAATTATAATATATTTATATATAATTTAATGTTATAATATTATATATATATATATATATATATATATATATATATATAATATTTTGATAATAGTATTATATATTATATACAATTATAAACCAATATAATAAACTATATATTAAATGAACCTAATAATAATAGGCCAATGCTAGAATTTAATTATATGTCCTTAAGAACATTTGTTCCGCTGTGGTGTTGATGGACTTTGTAGCGTATGTATCTCAAGATACAACGAATTTTCTTTCTTCGATAGCAGCACTGCAAATCGGAGAAATGGGCGAACCGGCTCGGTGTAGTACTCGATCTCTCTCTCTGAACTAGACTCAAACTCACATACTAAAACTATCTATATGTAAAGAAGGGAGAAGAAAATAAGAGAGGAAAACTCAGAACTAGAGAGAAGATTTATGAGTTTTGGTATGATTTGCAAATGACCCAAGGGATATAAAATATAGGCATGGAGGTGCCTATTCGGTTGACCCGAACTGCCACTGGATGCAATGGTTCAGCCTGAACCATTACCAAAACACCTGTTCATATTAGGGTGCGCTAGTTCACACCAGGTGCAACCTTGAACGCACTGGTTCGGATCAGACACAACCATTTATGATATCCACAGGAGTAAGGCCAGCCCAATAAAATAAAATAAAGCCCAAACGCCAAGGCCCAGTTCAAAAATTCCATTTAATAAAAAAGTTAACTAGATTTTACAGTTAAGTCTAAGCTTGGACCGGGTTGAGCGGGGCGCGCGTTTGTGTGGTAAATGGTTTAGACCCAAGCTTGCCTAGGTCCTTCCTTCT